TGCACCCCTGTGGGGTCCCACAGCGGGTTGGTGCCTGGTCCTCAATCCCCTCCTGCCAGCACTGACACCCCAAACCTCTCGGCCTGTTCCTCCACAAGCCCGAGATCCCTGTGGGATCCCTGCAGCTTCCCCTGGTTTATCAGGCATTCCATCGTCAATAAACCACGGGTTTTTCACTGAAAATTACCAGCTCTGGGTAGTTCTTGTGAAAATACAGTTTAAAAAGTCGTCTCCTTGTTGCCTTCCCTTCCAGTGACCCCCTGTCTCCCATCCCCACGGATGCGAACCCCCCGATGGCACCAGGAAAACCAACTGGGAAACTCCAGCGCCGGGAATCCGAAGGGACACAAAGACTGGGAGTATTAAATCTGGGAACACCTTGCCTCGACACGCTGGGGGTTTCAGAACCCGCTTCGCCCCTGCCCCTGCACAGCGGCTCCCTCGGAAAATCAACTCCAGCTCTCCCTTCAGCTCCGGCAAATTGTAGCCTGGTGCAGGAGTAGGCAACAGGTTGAAGGGAATTCCCGGGTTGGAGTGTTGGGAAACACAGTCTCACCATCCAGGCTGGGAGCTCAGTGGCTGCTCCTCCTGCCCCGGCTGCTCCTGGGCTCCTGCGGGGCAGAACTCAGAGGGTTCATCAGCGACGACGCTTCCCTGGCCACCAGCAGGTTTGTGAGCTGCGAGGAGATGGTTCCGTGGGGATGAGGGTGGTGTGATGGACCTGTTCCTCATACCAGGCCTGTGTTCCTGCCCTGGGAGTCACAGCAGTGCTGCCTCAGGCCAGGCTGGGTTCAGGGAAGGAACCAAAGTCAGACCATGAGGGTGATCTGCCCAGCCTTAACCCTTGCCAACCTGTTTTCAAGGGGTTTTATCCTCCATCCAGCCACCTCACCAGCCATGCCAGCTGCCTCCCCTGCTGCCAGGCTGCCTCTGTCTGGGCTCAGCTTGTGTTTTTAGCGTGGCCAGGGTGGAATGCAGGAGCTGGGTGGGAGGACAGGGTTGTCCCCACATCGGCCCTTGGACCCACCATCCCGTCAGAGCCCCCATGTCCTGGGGCAGAAGGTGACTGGCACGGCCCTCGTGCTTGGAAAATGACTGGCCCCGTGTCCAGGCCTTGAGTCACCAGCTCATGCCGCCGTCGTGGGCTGTTGTTTTCCACCCGCTGAGCACAGGCAGTGACCTGCTGTTTATTTATAACTCACTTCTTGGGAGACTGAGGAGCCGAGCTCTGGGACGGGGGGCTCTGCCTCTGCTGGCACAAGGCTTGATTCCAGCAAGAATCCCAAAGAATCTGGCTGTTTTGCAGCAGTTTGGGGAAGCAGCAGCTCTGCCCTTGCGCCAGTGTCTCTCCTCCTCGGTAGGTCAAACTCCTTCTCTGGGGCTGTTCCTCACTTGTTTGATTTTCACTCGAGCTGCGGGGGTGGTGACTGCTGGGAAACCTCGTGGGTTTTCTCTGCTGTAGATGGGCTTGTCTGTGTTTGCACATCCATCCCATCTCTTATGCCTTCAAGATCACAGGGAACAGCCGTGGCTTTCCAGGATCTGCCTGGTAGTGCTCCAGAGCCCCCTGGTTCCTTCTAGAGCCAGTGCCGCCGATCCGATTTCCCTGTGTTCCCCAATTTCCTCCCAGCACAAGTCCTGGGTGAAATCCACCTTGGAGCTGGTTCCTTGCACTCATTATTCAGGAAAATGTTGTCCCAACATAAGTGGTGCCGCGTGGATTTGTGGCACTGGAACAAACTGGTCGGACTGGTCGTGGTGGGAGTGGAGAGTCCTGTGGTGAAGGCGGCGGGTGCCCTCAGTGTCTTACCTCCTGCAGTTGCTGGAGGAGGTGATGCTGGCAAAGGAACATGTCTTTTGGGGGAATAACACTCGCTTTGTAAAACTTAGGCAAGGTCTTTGCAAAACTTAAGACGAGGTCTTTGCAAAACCACCGCTGTCATCCCTTTCCCTGTGACCGGCTCAGGATGTCAGGGTGGCCAATGCCAAGAGCACGGGTGGTGGCTGCAGTCCTGGAGCTGAAACACCTGTGCTGCCTGTCTGGGCATGAGAAATGCTACCCTATGCCCACCCTCGGGTCTTCTCCCACCCTCAGTGTCTCAGGTGGGATGTGTCTCTTGTTCACAGGATGTGGTGGGAAAAGGGGCAGAGTTTGTCCAGCCCCAAGGAGCCTGAGCCTCCTGGATGGAGGGTAGAGATGGGGATGGCTCCCTGCTGTCCCCATCAACCACTGCTGCCACTTAGGGGTTGCCTCGCTCCCCAAACCCCCCAGCAGCCTCTTGAGCCAGAGGTCAACTTCCCTGTAATCCCTGCACTCTCCCATTTCTGTGTTGCAACTCAAAGGGAGGAAATCTTATGACAAGTCGTGGCGAAAACAGTTTCCTTTTCTCTGAAATTGCCTGTGAACTCTGGAAACACTGAGGATCAATCCGGGGTTTGGCCTCAAAGAGCTCTTGTCCTGCTGCTCCCAGCACCAGTGGCTGGTGGGGTACCTGCAGGGGCTGCTCTTGGTCTGGACTGCTCCAGGTTTAAACTGCTCTGGATTTGGGCTGCTCTGGGTTTAAACTGCTCTAGACTTGGACCACCCTTGGGACTGGCCATGGCCGTGTAGGAGCTGCTCAGTAAAGCACAGTTCTGCCCAGGCTTGGCAGGAGAGGGGCAGGTTGATGCCATCAGCTCTGCTCAGGGAAAGCTCTGGGATTTTTGTGTTGGCTTGGAAATAAAACCTAAAAACATCAATGCCCATTCCAAGGCCATTGTCTGCCAGGGGCATATCCAACCCTGTGGCCAGTGCTGGGCTCTCCTTCTCTTTCAACTTAAGGGAATGGCTTAATAGGACAGGAGGGAATGGCTTCCCACTGCCAAAGGGCAGGGTTAGATGGGATATTGGCCAGAAATTCTTCCCTGGGAGGGAGGTCAGACACTGGCACAGGTTGCCCAGAGAAGCTGTGGCTGCCGCATCCCTGGAAGTGTCCAAGGCCAGGTTGGACGGGGCTTGGAGCAACCTGGGCTAGTGGAAGGTGGGATTGGGTGAACTTTGAGGTCCCTTCCAACCTGAACAATTCTGGGATTCTGTGAATAAATTCCTCCTCCAACCTCTCACGTCCTTAGGAAACTTTGGGCCGTAGCAGGTGCTGGAGCAGCTCTTGGACCCTTCTCCATGCTGGGATCCATGGTTTTTGGTCAGGGATCCAGCTGTGCCATGGGCATCTCTCTGACAGCCACGTGTTCTGCCCTCAGGGGCTCCAGGGACAGCTCGGTTTCGGCAAATGGCTCCCAGAGAGGAACAGGGCAGGAAGCCAAGAGTCAGAAGTCAAAGGTCCCTTGTCTGCAAACCCCCTGCAGTGGCAGGTGACCCAGCCAGGCTGCCACTGCCTGCTCACATCTGGTTTTCCAGGGTTTCCCATAGTGGGAGGGCACTGATTTTTCTCTGTCTCCCACCAAAGCCTCAGAGCAGCCCTGGCATCTGCACCCCCTGGAGTGGGAAAGTCCTGGGATTTATCAGCCTCATGGAGAACCTGCAGCCTTCCAGTGCTTAAAGGGGCTTATAAAAAAGGTGCAGAGCGACTTTACACAGGCAGACAAGTGACAAGAAAAGGGGGAATGTGTTTAAACTGAAACAGGAGATTCAGATTGGATATTGGGAAGAAATTCTTATCCATGAGGGTGGGGAGGCCCTGGCACAGGTTGCCCAGAGAAGCTGTGGCTGCCCCTGGATCCCTGGAAGTGTCGAAGACCAGGTTGGACAGGGCTTGGAGCAACCTGGGCTAGTGGAAGGTGTCCCTGCCCATGGCAGAGGGTGAAACTGGATGGTCCTTAAGGTCCCTTCCAACCCAAGCCATTCTGGGATTCCATGATTCCTTCCCAGACGGCTCTGTGCCCAGAGAGTCTGTCCCAGCTGGGTTGGGCAGCAGCATTGCTGCTGCTCCTCCTCCTCCTCCTCCTCATATCTTCCCACAGCCTGCTAGGGGGTGACACCCCCTTGTCCAGGCCACCTCATGCCACTCCCATGGTTTTTGGGTGCCGTCCTTCAGGCTCACACGTTGCAGGTGACACAGGGAGAGGGGCAGCCGTCCCTGGCCCTGCGTGTGGTGCTGCTGGCTGGACCTGCCTGGCAGCTCACCCAGCCTGGGGACTGCCTGCTGGAACCTCGCAGGGGTTAATTACTCCCTCCCAGGCTCTTGGCCATGCTCTGTTTTGCCCAAAACTCCCCAGGTCCCTGGGAAGTGTGGTACCTTTTCATGAGGTCATAGCTCACTCCCAGCTCGGATCCAGCAGCATCCTGGCCATGAGCACCTGCAGAATTCCTCGGTGCAAGATCCACCCCTTTTGCGTGGCACCAGAAGCCCTTCAGCTGGCAGGTGAGTCGGGTGTAACCCCACTGGGTGCTCAGACATCTCCTCCTCGTCCCCAGGTGACATGTGAAGGCAGCGCCCGGCACCGGGAGCGGCAGCAGCGGAGATGCATTCCAGCCACCTCGATGATCCCAAGGAAGCCATACAGGTGAGCCAGACCCACCCCAGTGCTCCCCACATAGCTCCACGTACTACCCAGTGCAACTCCAGTCACTGCTGGGGACGTGGTAGGACTTGTGGGTGCTGCCAGCTGGGATTGGGATGGTTTATATCGGGATTGGGATGGTTTGTCTGGGCAGGGGGATTAAAGGAAATAAAGTGTGTGTGGGTTAAAGCCACACCAGGGCTTTGCAAGACCCCACATGGGTGGGGCAGGGAAGGTGCTCAGGCCCAATACCTGGGCGAAGGGATGTTGTCACCCCCCCCAGTTTGGGGTCTCTTCCCCCAACTTTGGGAGTTTAAACACCTTTAACAATATCAACAGCAGCAGTTAAACCTGAGTGTTTAGTTCATCCCAAGGCAGGATGACTCCATGTGTGGCTGATAAAATCATTTGCACTCTTTAATCCTCTCAGCCCGTGGTGCTCCTTCCTTGGGCCAGCCGACCTGGGGGCTGCTGAAAAACAGCACCCCAATAAGGGACACACTCCCCCCACTGTTGTCCTTGAGCTCCAGCTGCTGGAAATCTTATTTAGATGCTGAAAAAAATATCCCAGGCTGGAAATTTAATATGGGTTTGTGCAGCCAACCCAGGCTCGAATCAAAGTCTGCCCAAGCCCTGGTCAGGGAATGTTCAGCGTTTGCCTGGAATGCTGCCTGATGCTGAAACATGGCGGGGCCCCAGAGGAATTTGTGGTGTTTTCCAAGTGCCTACTTGTAAACACAACCTGGATTTGAAATAAGGTTGGTTGAGACACCCAGGCTCAGCTGCATGAGGAAAAAAATCCTCTCCACCAGCGTAAAATTCACTGAACTTCCTGCTTTTGACTGGTGGGAGAGGGAAGTAAAGCTGCTGGAAGGTAAAAATCCCAAGTTCCAGCTTCAGAACCTGCTGAGTCTCTTCAAAGGCAGGAGCTGAACCCCGGTGTTCTTCCAAACCCCTCTGTTTTGGGGGCCCATCCCAGCAGTGCCTGAGGTTTAACCAGCACGGCCAGCGAGGTCGATGGCTTTGATTTCTGCTGGTGGGACCCGTCAGCGTGTCACATGTCACATGCTGCTTGGGCTGACCTGCACGAGCTCAGGGGCTCTGTTCCCTCCTCTGAGCTTCTCCTTTCTCACCCACACTTAATCCTCGTGTTTCCCCTGAGAAAGTGCCTTCCCTACCCCCTTAAGCTATTTGCTGCCTGCAGAGGAAGCACCACATGCTCCAAAAGCAACCCCAGCTCTGAAACACCACAAAATTGCATTAATTATTATTTTTTTAACAAAATAAGCTACACAAACTGTAATGTCAGCAGTGTGAGACCCCAGCTCAACCAGTTCAGCTGCAATGCTCCCAGTTCAGCCACTGCAAAGGAGGAGGCAGGAATCACGTGGTGCTTTGCTGTGAATGAGCCTTGCTGGGTTTGAGCCCTTTTACATGAAAACCTTCCTAATCGTTTTCTTTTTATGATCCAAACATGCACCTCCTGCCTTTCAGCTGATCAAGAAGCAGCTGGTGAATGCCATCAAGGCCCTGCAGAAGCAGTACGTGAGCTCGGACGCCGTCGTCACCAGCGATGACGGCAATGCCAACACGCTCTGCAGCGCCCTGGAAGCTGTTTTTGTGCATGGGCTGAAGGCCAAGCACATCAAGGCACAGACTGGGGGGAAAGGGAAGAAATCAGGGGGTCGAGGACCCCTTCCCCAGCCGGTCTTTTGGGGCCTGCTGAAGAGCATCACCCATCGGTGAGTGCCTGTTGCTGCTGAAAGGGATTTGCGCGCTCGCGTTTATCCCTTGTCTTTGGTGCAGTAAAATTCAGGGAATGGTGGGCAGCAGGATGGCTCAGTGCATCTCTACCCCATCCTGCATGCTCAGTCCATTCAGTTTGGGGAAGAGGCACCCTCACAGGGGTTTGGGGGGTTGGAGGTAGGAGAGCGAAGCCCCTGCGGTGCTGAGAGGGGCTGGGCCCCCTATGGCCCCTCTGAGCGTGTGCTGGGGGTGAGCTGATGTCCCCAAACAGTTGAGGGATTAAATTGTGAAGACACACCCCTTTCTATTTATTTTTGGGTGCCAGGCTGTATGTGGTGGTTCCAGGTCCCCCGTGGAACCCCAGTGACTGCAGTGGCGTCCGGCAGAAGCTGTTTATGGGATGCACATGCAGGGATCTGGTCTCTCTCCTGACCTGGATCTACTGGGGCTGGTTGACCCTGTTTCCCCACATCCCAACAGCCTTCGAGGAGGTCTCTCTGGGTGACTACTATTTACTGGGGTTTTTCTGAGCCACTCCCTAAGCTAAGTTCTCCCACAGTAAATAACAGCCCACACACAAATTGTTCTGAAAGCCTCATCCAGCTCCATCACCGACTCCTGAATTATGAAAGAGCGGATGAAAATAATTCTTTCACATTCTACAGGGGATATTTTTGTGCCCTTTGAAGGTTTTTTTCTTCTGTCTTGAGAGACAGATTAAAAAAGAAGTCTTACAAAACTTTTGCCCTGGTTTTTGAGGCGTCTGTGGTGCTGGTGTGAGCTGGGAGCAGGCAGGATCCAGGGACCGTGGTGTCGCTGTTGGATCTTAGGGAAGAACAGTTGAATTCCAGAGGCTGAGATTGCTTGCAGAGGAGCTCGACCCAAGCCAGGTTGTTTTTTTGGGGCTGCCACAGCAGTTTTCACTGTGTTTTGGCGCTTTTAAATTTGAAGTGAGGATTTAGACACGTGGTTGTCACCAAGGAGGATCCAGCCAGCACAAACCCCACTAATATGCAGGGACAGCAGGAATTCCCCCCTCTGCATCCTTGGTCCAGGGCAAGCAATGGGTGGGAGATGCCTCCAGCCAGAGAGAGGAGAAGAAGCCGAGGCACCCAAGGGCTGCCTTGGATCCTTACCAACACATTTAGCTTTGGGGCATTCGGGAGCTATTTTTCTCCATGACAAACCACATTTTCCATGAAGGAAAGAGATTTTCCACAGCCTGTTTTATCCCAGCTTCTAAACTCCCCATAGCAGAGCAGGTTGGGCAGTTCCTGATGGAGGCTTTGCTTCTCCTCTGCCCCATGATGGACCTAAACGGAGCCGCTCACGTCCTGTTCTGTCCTTTGTCCTCCTTTTTCCCAGGAATATTGTCTCGGAGCTGGAACAGCTCATGTTTATCAACACAGATGTGGGTCGCTGCCGTGCCTGGCTGAGGCTGGCACTGAACGATGGGCTCATGGAGTGTTACTTGAAGCTGCTCCTGCGGGATCGCTCCCGGCTGTCCGAGTACTACCAAGCGCCCGCTCTGCTCCTGGACGCCGAGGAGTGCGAGTTTCTCCTCTGCTACTTGCAGGGTTTATCGTCCCTAACCTTCGAGCTGTCCTATAAATCAGCAGTTCTGAATGAGTGGACCATCACCCCCCTGTCCCTGTCGGGCCTGTGTCCCGTTTCGGAGCTGCTGGAGCCCCTCACATCCGAGCCCCGCAGGAAAGCGTCGCTGGGTTCCATCTCGCAGTCGTCGGGGTCGGACGAGATCGAGATCCAGCCCTCGGCGCTGCCCATCGGCAAAGCCAGCAGCAAGATCAAGCTCACGTCGTCCTCGCTGAGCCTGAACACCACGAGCTCGTCCCAGCTCTCCTCCAGCCTGGGCTCGGACAGCATCCCGCCGGCCCCCTGCGCCCGCAGCCCCGAGCGCAGCGAGGAGCCGCTGTCCTGCGACTCTGACCTGGGCACGGCCACCGCCGAGGACCTGGACAGGTCACTGCAAGAGTGAGTCCTGCCCCAGCTCTCCTCTCCAAAGGGATTTTTAACCCTCTCTGGGCTCTCATTATTTTCTCTCTATAAGAAGGAAGCCTTTCTCCCTGTTTTTCTTTCACAAGCTGGTTTTTTCCTCCTGGAAAGGGCCTTCGTTGTTTTTACAAACCACTCGGCACAGCTCACTGAGCCCCTGCTGCCACTGCAAATGAGCTCATGGCCACTGAAGTCTGTGTGTGTCCTCTTTAGCAGGGCAGAAACATCAGAAAAATGCTGCTCCCTGGTTTCAGGAATGTCACATCTCCCTGGTGCATGCTGGGGGTTGCTCCAGGGCTTTCTGTGAGGGGAAAGAAATGAGTTTGGTCACAGGAAGGGTTATAATTTGCAGCTTCTGCAGATCATTCAGAGGAGGGAGGTTGTTGGTTTGTCATCCTTGTGATTTATTCCTGCCGAGCATCCAGCACAAAGATTTCCAGGGTTATATAAGCTCTGAGTAGTCAGTAAATATTTTCCGTACCACCTTTAAAATGTGACTCTGAGGGAGCCCAGCCTCGGGATGATGCCTCTTCCCAGTGAAGGTCTTCAGGAGGGTTTAGAGCTGCAGGCTGTGCTCCCCCATCTATAACAGCATCATTCCCTACTTTCAGGATTTTGCATCTTCCAAAGGTCCTGGAAGAACCTGCCTTGATTGGATTAAACTCGTGATGGAGATGCTGTTTCAAGTTTTAATCTTGGGCTGGTTTGATTCTGGGGCTGGCAGTGAAGCGGGGCCATGGGAACAGCCACTCCTCTGGCCAGGCTCCACTATTAATTGCTCATTAACAAAAACAGTTGAAATTTGGCACATGGTCCAAGGCTGGATTCGTGTCCAGGAGCTGTACGTGGGGCTGGGGCTGTGGGAGCACCCAGCACTCCCCGCATCCATGGAATCAAACCCCTTTAATGTGTGTAACTGGGGAATGCTCCCATTGCAGGCAGGGTTCTGCTGCCGTGCTATGGGGCTGACACTGCTCTGTGGGGCACAAATCCCACATTTTTCTGTTGGCATCATTGGGATTTTCCGGCCACACCGTGCTGCCAGCCCGTGGAGGACGGCAGTGCTGCCGAGCCCTTTTTACACGGTTATAATTTACAATAACTGGGGGGGGTTTACAGGTTTTAGCCATTGCAGCTGCATTCAAACCAATCATTTTTCCCTTTCAAGGGTGTTGTCCGAGTTCAGCAAAGCCCGGCCGAGCCCGGAGGCTCCGGAGGGACGGCTGGTCCCCAGCGTGCTGGGCTGCTCCCCCCGGCCGCCCGCGGGCCCCCCGGCACCGACCCCCAGAGCGCACCAGGAACCACCCCCCGGCACCAACAGCTCCGCTCCAACAGGTGACACAGCACCCACCAGCCATGAGGAGGGAGATGCTGGTGGCACAGCCAGCGTTCCAGCCCCACGGAGGGATGGTCCAAGCAGAGGGGAGCGCGGCAGCGGCGAGGGCAGCCTGGCAGTCCGGAGTCCCACGGCCGAGTACCTGCTCTCTCCCCTGCTGGGCTGTCCGGTAGGTCTTACAGCTCCTTCCCTTCCCATCTCCTTGGTGTTTTGCTCCCTGACCTAATGGAAAAGGAAAAACAAAACTCATGACGGTTTTTTGAGGAGGCAGCGGTTTCATAGAATTAGGGAATCCCAGAATGGTTTGGGTTGGAAGGGACCTTAAAGATCATCCAGTTCTGACCCCCTGCCATGGGCAGGGACACTTTCCACTAGACCAGGTTGCTCCAAGCCCACCCAACCTGGCATTAAACACTTACAGAAATGGATTTCTCCAAACTCCCATCTTCTGTGCTGCTCCCACTTGGTTGCCAGTGATGCTCCCCACTCCACAGGCATCTTCCTGGACTCCATGGAGTAGTATCCATGCAGCGGCTCTGGGAGAAATTGGATCAAAGTCTGTATTCTCTGGTAAAAGAGACACTAAAGCCTTTGAACGTCCGCCTGGCCTGTCAGTCATCCCTCTCCAGGAGTGGCTGCAGCAGGAAGTTTATTAAGGCTATCTGGAGAGGGATGAGCTCTCACACAAATCTGGCCGTGGGCTGTGTGCAAGAGATAAAACAGCCCTGGAACTGAGGTTCTCATGGGGACTTTTCTTCCTTTATGGTCCACGTAAGAGGAGGAAAAGGGTTGACTGGACAGGAAATAAAGTAGTCTCCCAGCGGAAAAACCCTCCTGCAACACATCTGTTCCCAGAGTGGGATGGCATTCCCGGGTGCTGGGCTTGAGCAGCGGCGGATTTCCCCTGCAGCCACACGGAGCTGAGCCACATCCACTCGCTTTTGCTTTTAGGAAACTCTCTGAACAGCCTCGTCCTCTGTCTGATTTGTAACTGACTTTTCCGTCCTGGTTCCCATTGTTTCCATCCTGGTTCCCATCCTTTCCACCCTGGTGAGGTTAAGATATACCTCATACCCCCCAGACCATTCCTGCTCTCTGCTCCTTTCAGTTCCCTCCTGCTTATCCCGTTTCTGCTGCTTCCTCGTGGCCCTGAGCCAGTTTGACCTAATCTATGTATAACATACTGTGTCAACAGGAAATTCCCCCTGCTCTCCCATGACTCACGGAGCAACCTGCATTCCTGCCCCGGGAGTAAGCCGGGAGCTGCAGGAGCTGCACCACCACCACCCCCCCGTGATCCTCCCACAGGGTGGTGACAGCTCTTGTGCTGTCACTTACCTTGTTATTCAGGATAAAAGGCTCTTGGAAAGCTGGGAAGGGAAGCTGAGAGGACATTCCTGGTGGGATGCAGCCCTGAGTGTAGGGATGCTGCTCCCTCGTGCCAGGGCACTGAGCTGGGTTTTTTCCTACTGCTGTTTGTTCAGGGACCTTGTCCCAGAACCTTGCTCCTTTCAGGAGGAATTTCTTCACTGAAAGGGTTATCAGGCTTTGGAAGGGGCTGCCCAGGGAGGTGGTGGAATCCCCATTCCTGGAGGTGTGCAAGGAATTACTGGACGTGGCACTCAGTGCTCTGGTCTGGTTGACAAGGGGGAATCAGTCACAGGTTAGACTTGGTGATCTTGGAGGGCTTTTCCAACCTTAATGGTTCTGTGATTCTTGAAGCCAGAAGAACTCCTGGAGAAGTTACAGCCATGTTTTCTTCTGCCCATGGGTCTCATCCCCTCCTGACACAGCAGACAAAGGTTTCTTCTGCCTTCCCTGCTTTATTTTTTCCCTGCATGACTCAGGCCAAGTGTTTGTGAGCCACAGGTCTTATATTTCATCCTGGACATCTTCTCTGTACCTCTCCCCATCCCTGCTCCTCCTGGAACATGGCTGGTGCTGCTGCTCCAGGCAAGCTCATGCTGTTCCATGGCAGGGCTGGAATCCCACCCTCCATCAGAACAATCCAAATGCCTGTGGTCAGTGCAGGGAATGTGCTCTCCCTCCACAGTGATTTTAGGGGGAGAGAACTGATTGATTTTGCACTTTATAATCCCACCAGGATAGAATCCCAGTATTTCCCAGCTGTTGACACAGTCCCACAGAGCATTCCCTGACTGGAGGGAGCCGGGGGAGCCATCCTCCTGGGAATGGCCAGCAGAGAATCATGGAATGGCTTGGGTTGGAAGGGACTTTATAAAGCTCATCTTGTTTTACTCCCCTGCCATGGGCAGAGGAACCTCCAACTGGCTCCCACACATCAGTGCCTGGAATTTGGTCTGTGCAGGAGCAGCCCCTGAGGAGGGATCTTTGTGGACATGCGTGTGTGAGGGGCACAGGGTGTTCGATAAGTTTGATAATTGCTATATTTAATTTTTTAACAGAAAAGAAAGAGCTGGATCTCAGAAGATGATTTCTACAGACCTTCCCCAGGAGAGAGCAGTGGGAGCACAGCTGACACCAATGGCTTCGGGCCCGAGGGGGACAGTGAGGGGCTGGCCCCGGGGCTCATCAGTGCCCTTGACTTGGAGAGGCTCTCGGTGCCCTCCTCGGAGAGTGGGAAACCCAAAATGTCCCCAGAACGGGAGCAAAAGGGCTTCAGTGTGGTGCACCGCCGGCAGATGGGTACGTGCCACCTCCTGCTTCCCTCCAGTGCCTGCCCTGGGCAGTGCTCAGGGATTATCCTGGGTCATGATGGGCTGTTTGGGCAGCAGCTGTTGGCTGGTGTGAGCTGGTGGCAGCACTAAGAGCCACAGAAGACAATGGAGCAGCTTCCCAAGGCATTGCTGAGCCCATGATTGGCTCTGGTGGGAAGTGTTTTAGGGGGAGAGGGTTTGTCCACCCTCAGGACACCTTTTCTTTATGCCGTCCCACTCATTCTCAGCCTCAAAACCCAAATGCAGATGGACAGAAACCCAAGTGCAGGTGGACAAATGGTGGAGACCAAGGTCCTGTCAACTCCTGCCCCATCCCACCATCCTCCAGGACAGGCTCTCCAAGCTGCCGTGCCTCTGGGTTGCTTGCTTTGAGCCCCCCTTGGCTTTTCTCTCTCTCTCCTGGCTTCTCCTTTTTCAGTTAAACCGAGACATCCTTTCCCCCAGGTCTTTCCAACCCTTTCCGAGGGCTCCTGAAGCTGGGCAGCCTGGAGCGCAGGGGAGCCATGGGCATCTGGAAGGAGTTCTTCTGCGAGCTGTCGCCGCTGGAGCTCCGGCTCTTCCTGGACCACGAGGATCGGATCTGTGTGGAGAGCTACTCCCTGCTGCGCTGCGAGTCCCTGGCGCTGACACACTCCGACGGCCGCTTCGAGCTGGTGTTCCTGGGGAAGAAGCTCTACCTCCGAGCCCCTTCTCGGGACGAGGCCGAGGACTGGCTGGACAGGATCCGAGAGGCGCTGCACAAGTGCCGGCCGCAGCTGGAGGAGGACGAGTGGGAGACTCTGGAGTATTCCGAGGATGGAGGTGAAGCCCAGCCCGTCCAGGGTGACTCCAGTGCTCTCCAGCACAGCGACGTGCCTGGGAACAGCTTGGACTGGACTCCAGCCCACGAGCCGGAGCTGGATGCGATAAAAGAGGCTGTTCTGTACATGGACCTGGACAAAACCTGGGTCCCTTTCATTTTTTCCCTGTCCCTCGAAACTCTGAAGTGCTTTAAAATCAGGAACAATGACAAAATTTTAAGCAACAGTTACGGCATAGAGACCATCCAGGACATCCTCCCGGACACGAGCCTGGGGGGACCCGCGTTCTTCAAGGTGATCACCTCCAAGGCTGTGCTGAAGCTGCAGGCTGAGAACGCAGAGGAAGCAGCCTCGTGGAGGCTGTTGGTCCGAAGGGCCCTCATGGCCTACCTGGAGAGCGCAGAGGAGGCGCTGACACTGGGTGGGAGCTTGGATGGGCACTCCCAGGTCGTCCTGAAGAACATCGTGAAGGAAAACGGCTTCTTGCTGCAGTACCTGGTGGCCATCCCCATGGAGAAGGGCCTGGACTCTCAGAGCTTCATCTGTGCAGGTACAGTTTGGTTTGGATTGGAAAGGATCTGAAAGACCATCTCATCCCACCCCCTGCCATGGGCAGAGTCACATTCCACTAGCCCAGGTTGCTCCAAGCCCAGTCCAACCTGGCCTTGGACACTTCCAGGGATGGAGCAGCCACAGCCTCTCTGGTTTCCCAATCCAAACCACTAAAGCCTCTCAGTGGAGTTTCACGTCCCCAGTTGGTGGCACCTTTGATGTCCTGTGGGCACAATCCCCATCCCACCCCTGCCCAGCTCCAACTGGGATGCTGCTGGGCTCCCATTTAAGATGCTTTTGGTACAGACAGTCAGGAACTGGGATTGAAGCAACCTTAGCTGGACCACAGGCCCAGGACTCTCTTCCTGGGCATTTTGAGGCCACAGCCTGTGGGGAAAGTGCAATCAAGAGCAGTTTTTCCAGTAAGGCAGCACAGGAGCAGGGATTGCAATGGGTGTGACGAGCTGATTTTGCAAAACAATCATTTACCCTTCCCCTGACGCCTCTTGGCACACGGGGCAATGCTGGTGGCACCCTCACTGACCTTCACAGGAGGTATAATTTGCTCTTTACCTCGCTAAGTTAATTAAATTTCAGATTTCTCTCCTGCCTCAATTATATTTCTTGTACCCTCCAGCAGGTTGGGTTTTTTTCTTTTAATCCCTCTCCTTTTTTTTCATATATATTTTTTTTCTGGTCTGTTTGGTCTCTGCCTTTCCCTCCAGGCTCTGTCCTGCATCTTCTACCTCCCCACAGATGGAAGCAACAAGCCAAAAAGACAAATTTCCAGTTTTTATGTGTAGGTTTTCTTCAGGGATCTGCCTCCCCTGCTTTCACCCCACTCCCAGCCTGGGATGTGTTCCCTTCCATCTCAGGGTAATGAGCAATAAGAGCTGGGTTTCATTATATATTCAGAAAGCAGCACATGATCTCCATGAATGTTTTTGAGGGGTGAGCTCCAGACACCCCAGAGTGTGACAGGTGGGGTGTCAAAGCCAAGCTGGATTCCCCACTGCTATAATAAAGGGGATTTGGGGTTAATCCATCCTAACTTCATCCCTGGAAGATGAGGTTTGGGGACCCTGTGATGGCAGCAGGAAAGAAAAGGGCTGAGTGAAGGTAAAATAGGGCAAAGCCATTGGTGGAGGTAATGGGGCAGCAGGTGGGATTTAGGTTCTTCCCTAAACCACTGGGATATTTCCAGAATTCACTTTTCCTAAAAAAAAAAACCAAACAACCCAAACAACTGAACCACTTGATGGATAAAAGTGGGTTCAGGGATTGTCCAGCCTTCTTTTTATGGAGAAAAAGTGAAGTGGTGCCTGTTGGACCATCATGGTCCAACAATCCATGGGGAAGGGCCTGGGGAACATCACACTGAACATCCTACAAGTGCTTCAGCTGATCCCCCTCCCCTCCCAAAACTTACTTGTTCCATTCCCTGCTCCCAAAAGTTTCTCCCTGCCCTGGCAGTGATGGGTGCAGGCTCAGGTCCCCTCTCATTCCCTGCTCCCCTCAGGCTGCTCCAGGCAGATTGGCTTCTCCTTCGCCAAGCCCAAGCTCTGCGCCTTCTCCGGGCTCTACTATTGCGACAGCTGCCACCGCGATGACGAGACCGTGATCCCCTCCCGCCTCATCCACAACTGGGACCTGACGAAACGAGGGGTGAGTCCTGGGCTGGGTCCATGCAGGGAGCAGGGAAACGCTCTGGCATCTGCCCACGCTTCCTGAATGTCCATCTGGGCGTTCCCCGAGGTTGGAGGTGCCCACCCCAGACCCCCCTCCGAGCCTCTCCTCGCTCCATGCCCACCTGTCCCCTCTCTGTGCCCCAGGTGTGCAAACAGGCCCTCAAGTTCCTCTCCCAGATCCGTAACCAGCCCCTGATCGACCTGAAGCTGGTCAACGAGAGCCTCTACGAGCACGTGGAGAGGATGGGGCGGATCCTCCGGAGCAGGGAACAGCTGAAGCTGCTGGGGGATTACCTCATCATGTGCCGCAGCGGCGCCCTGAAGGAGCTGAGCAAGCGGTGAGGGCCCTCTCTGGGTGACATTCCCTGCTCTTTGCACCCCCGTGGTCTCCTGGTTCTCCTCCTCACCCCCTGTCAGAGCAGTGCTGCCAAGGCTCAGGCTGGTTTTTCGCTCCATATCATCTGCCCTAAGGAGTTATCTGTCTGTTGGCTGTGTCAGCACACTGAGCTGTGACTCAGGAAACACCTTCCTGGCCGAGGAGCTTCTGGCTGGACAGGAAACACCTGGGAAAATAGATGAGATATTTATTTTCTTTTTTCCCTCCCTGCTTTGAAATGCTCTCACACGATTTCCAGTGGCAGGATTTGGGATGTGTGGCACAATAGAAGAATAGGCTCTGCAGTGATTTTCTTTAGGAATCTGCATTGTCCAGGCACCTCCTTGCTCCAAAGCTGTTGGAGATGGGGTGGAAACCATCTACTCCTTTTTCTCTGTGCTTCTTTGCAGGCTTGATCACAGGCATTACCTCTTGGAGTGTCCCCACAAATACAGTGTTGCTGATCTGAGGCAGGTGAGAGCTTTGCATGGTCATAGAATCACAAAATGGTTTGGGTTGGAAGGGACCTTAAAGACCATCCAGTCCCACCCCCTGCCACAGGCAGGGATACCTTCCACTAACCCAGGTTGCTCCAAGCCCTGTCCAACCTGGCCTTGTCATAGGGATTTTGCTGGTGAAGACACCCCAGGGTCTGTGGAGACACCACATGGTGCTTCTTCAGCAGGAGTTTTCCAACAGTTGGATTTTTCAGTGATTCCAAAGCCAGGAGCCCCATCCTGGCAGGCTGTGGGTGCTGCTCTCAGTTTTCCAGGGTCCCGTTGTGACCTGGGTGTGGGTTGTGTTTGGAGGACAGCCTTGCCTTCACGTGGCAGCTCCAAGAACGGGTGTAACCCAGCACGAACCCGGCAGGGCTGGGCTCCAAGAGCACTGACCCCCCTGTCCCACAGATCGCCGACGGCGTCTTCGAGACCTTCCTGCAGTCCCTGCTCCAGTTCGCGTCCCACCACGTCTACAGCTGCGACCTGTGCACCCAGCGCGGCTTCATCTGCCAGATCTGCAACAGCAGCGACATCATCTTCCCCTTTGAGTTCGACACTACCACCAGGTGAGCCCCCCCGCTGACCCCCTGCAGCCAGGACACCCCAGGGCACGGCCTGGCTTCTGCCAGGAGCCCCAGATGGCCCCTGGGTCCCCCTAGGGGGTCTGCACTTCCAAGGCATGTGGCCTCGGGGTGAACTGGGAATGGGTCTGACGTGGTTGTGTATCCTCCTGGTGCCCATATCCCAGTGGTGCCCGTGTCCTCATGGTGCCTGTGTCCTCGTGGTGCCCATGTCCTCGTGGAAACCATACTGTGGTGCTCACATCCTCATGGGAACCATATTATGGTGCCCATGTCCTCATGGGAGCCGTGTCCTCATGTCCCACATCCTTGTGGGAGCCATATCCTTGTGCTGCCCATGTTGTCATGGTCCCCACATCCTTGTAATGCCCATGTCCTCATGGAAACCATACTGTGGTGCTCACATCCTCATGGGAACCATATTATGGTGTCCATGTCCTCATGGGAGCCGTGTCCTCATGTCCCACATCCTTGTGGGAGCCATATCCTTGTGCTGCCCATGTTGTCATGGTCCCCACATCCTTGTAATGCCCATGTCCTCATGGAAACCATATTGTGGTGCTTACATCCTTGTGGGAACCATATTGTGGTGCCCATGTCCTCATGGGAGCCGTGTCCTCATGTCCCACATCCTTGTGGGAGCCATATCCTTGTGCTGCCCATGTTGTCATGGTCCCCACATCCTTGTAATGCCCATGTCCTCATGGAAACCATACTGTGGTGCTTACATCCTTGTGGGAACCATATTGTGGTGCCCATGTCCTCATGGGAGCCGTGTCCTCATGTCCCACATCCT